CGTTTGACCTCTGTCATTGCCAACAAAGGATATACAACAAAGTATTGAGATGAAATTTTGTTATTGACCAAATACTTACAGTATTTTCCACCATTATTTTCAAAAAAATTCTTTAAAAGTCAGACAAAATGATTTTCTCAAATTTTTTTTCACATTTTGTCTCTCATAGTTGAGGTCTACCTATGATGTCAATTACAGGCCTCTCTCATCTTTTTAAGTGGGAGAACTTGCACAATTGGTGACTGACTAAATACTTATTTTCCCCACTGTATGTAGAAAGGGTTGGGATGAGTACAGGAAGCTAGATGATGAATGCGTCAGTCACAGGTGTGTGGTAGGGGTGTAAATCACCAGCTTTATCATGATATGACATTACATCAAAATGTTTAGATGACGATTCGATATTTCTCTATCACAAAGTCTGTCACAATATGATTTTGATTCAATTCAATTCACCAGTCTGCAATCGATACAATGACTGTGTTAAATGGGCATATGTTATTGATTCCCATCGAGCAAATGATGATATAGATCGATATTTTCATTTTGCCTTGATATAACTGAAACATGAACCATTCAAATCGATATATCAATAGAGATCGATGTATCGTTACACCCCTTCTGTGTGGTAGTAGCTGAGACTCGTCCCCAACACAACAATCTTTTAAATGACATTTGCCTAAAACATTACCATTAATGGTGGTGCAGTTATTATAGCTGTTGCCCCATTGAATCCCAGTCTGGATCCTTTTTGGGTTGGGTTTGCATGTTCTCTCTCTCTCTGCACTCCTGGATTTTCTCAGGTTTCCTCCTACTGACCAAATCATGCACATTATGCTGATTGATGACTCTAAATTGGCCCTAGGTGTGAGGGTTGTTTGTCTCTGTGTGATCCTGTCATAGACTTGGGACCTGTACTGGGTGTACACCAGCTTTTGCACAGTGACTGCTGGACTTTGGCACCAGTGATCCCCACGACTTGAAAAGGAAAAGCGGGTTTAAATAATGGGTGGTGTCATGAACAACTTGCACAGATATTTGTGAAACTTCAGTCCCTGGATGAACATATCTGTTTTGCTTTAGGAAATTCGACCTTAATAAGTTTCTCTGTCAGTTGTATGAAACATGTTTAAACATATTTAAATACAGCACAGAAGGGAAACCCCTCAGACTAACCCATGTAGGGCTGTAGGATTTTGTATTAGAACAGATATGAAAATTTACCCCACCAAAAATAAAGCTGTGAAAACTAGACTACCATGCCCACCACAAGAGCTAAAATAACTGGAAGTATAAAACACACTGTTGCAGTTAACACCAGCAAAATACCTTAACTTGCATAATGCGGTTAAGCTACCGTTTATCAAAAGTAGTTTGAAAGAAAAAACAAAAGTTTGTGTAATGATTCAAGTTTGTTCTCATTATACAAAATGGAGCACAACTATTGTCACTACAACACAAACTGGTCAAATGCAATTTTAATCCCAAAGAGAAAATAAATGGTCTAACCCAAATTATCATGCTTTCTTAATGTCAAGAGAGATTGGTACCAAAACTTGGTATTTTTTCAGCACTGGTTCCACATGATTTATTTTGGCCGTATGGATAAACTCCTCTTATTCATAGTTTGTTTTTGGTTTTAATCCCTTAGAAAAGCATTGATAAGAGGACTTTTAAAATAATTATAATCGATAAGCAATATTGATAAGAGTAGCATCAATAAAATCCTGAGAGGGTCCGGTGGCGCCGATGCATGGCAGCCCCACCTCTGTCAGTGTGCCCCAGGGCAGCTGTAGCTACAGTGTAGTTTGCCATCATCAGTGTGTGAATGTGAGTGTGAATGGGTGAATGTCTGTTAGTGTGAAGCGCTTTGGGGGTCCGGAGGGACTTGAAAAGCGCTCTATAAGTTCAGTACCATTTACCATTTGTCTCATTGCTACAGCTGAGCACTAATAACAAACATTAACTAAGATTTACCTGGTATTTCCTGCATAGAAACAGCATTTTAACACATCCTCTTATAAACACTGAAAACTGTGTACGACTGTCTAAATGTGTAATAAATAATATGGAAGTACTATTAAAATAAATATAACCAACCACTATAAGCAAGCCTTTACAAGCCCACAGAGCATTTAAAAACAAAATTATTTACAACTCTTAATTTAGTCCCCAAAGCCAGTAAAGTTCATTCTCAACTGCAAGTTCAAAGCTATCCCAGATTAAACTACAATTTATGTTATGAACTGGTAGAAGGTGCAAGGTCATTCTTCAGTGTGGTACAAGGTCAAAGGTCAGTCAGTCTTCAGTGAGATTGAAGGTCAGTCAGTCTTCAGTGTGGTAGAAGGTCAAAGGTCAGCTTCTGTGCTGCTTCTTGATGGTGTACTTGTGTTTTCAGGTGCGGGTCTGAGTGGCCGTCAGATGCATCGTACTCAGGGTGTGTTCAACCACACAGAGGACTACGTGCTGCTGCCTGATGAGCGCACCATCAGCCTCTGCTGCTGGGACTCAAGAACGGCTGAGAGGAAGAACCTACTGTCTCTGGGCCACAACAACATTGTCCGTGCCATTGTCCACTCTCCTACTAACCCTGGCTTCATGACGTGTAGTGATGACTTCAGGGCCCGCTTCTGGTATCGTCGCACCACCACAGACTGAGTGTGAACTTCACTGAAATTTTCTTTGAGCTGTCAGGAGGCATCATCTTCTTAACCAACAATGTCTTTCTCTTTAAAATTGTGTCCATCTACCTGTACATTTCTAAAGAACAGAAAAGGATGTTTGTTGCAAAACCTTGAGTAAAAACAAAAAACAGTGGTTGCTGTTTCCTTAAAACGAAATTCTGCAACCGTGAAGTGAGTAAAACCACCAGACTTCAGTTTTGTTGAATGGAAAGTATGACCTCTGACAGCTCAGTTCAGAGACATGTCATGTTTTTCACTGACCTGTCAGAATTAACTGCAAATGAATTCTGGCTTTTTGATTTTCCTTTTTGTCTTTGTTCTTTCATGTAGTTTGTATTTTTAATAAAAAGCTAAAAGAAAGAAGGTGCTGCTGTGAATTTTATTTAGACAATTCCACAGTTAGGGCTCTTAACCACAGGTCTGAGGATTTCTTCTAAATATTTTATAGACACAGTTGTTGCAGTTTCAGTGACCAGCAGGGAGCACAGATGAGTACTGATCTACCACAACAACTCACACACTTTATTCTGAGAACTTTATTCTTGTCCAACATCTACGCAGCTCTGACTGGTGATTAAAAAGGGACAAGAATATCTATACAGGTTGTTTTTCATCACCACACAGTGTGCATTTGAATGAACTTTAAGGAAACAAAGTAACCACAGGACGTCTACAACTGTTTGACCTTTGAAAAGATGGCTGCCACGGCTGAGCAATGTTAACAAACTGGCTTTAAGCTTTGGAGACATTCTCAGTTTTTAGATATTAATATCAAGGTTTGACCAGAACAGCTGTCATAGATCAGTCTATGAGTTAACTCAAGGAATGTTAGGTCTTTAATTTTATTTTCATTTGGGCTGGACGGTCAGGGTGCCTCATTGTCTTTTTCTTGCCCCTAACCCCTAGCTCAGCTCTGAGACGCTGTCGCTCAGACAGCAACAACGAAATGCAGAAGAATGTCTGCTTCAACCCCCCTTCTGTTACCGTACGGTTCAAGTGTCAGATCGTAGCTGGAATCAACTCAGATCCACAGACAGTAATTAAATTTAAACTGGTCTGAGGAGAGAATGAGTGAGAAATGACAAACTTCTGCTTTACTTGGAAAAAAAGTTGACTGAAGGGGGAAATAGTGGTTGTGTAGCTGCAGAAGTGTGTGTGTGTGTGTTGGGGTATCTGCCAGCCAATGAGTGTTAAGGACAGCAGCTGTGTCTCTGACAGGGAGCCTGCTCTCTCCGCCCCGTGTGTTGAACAGCAGCCTGCTCTCGGACGGAGCTCAGACTGAATGAGAGGCTCCTGATGGTCCACTGAACAGAGACGCTTCAGTCTGCAGGGACAAGTCTGCCACCATGGTGAGTCCTGCTGCTGGACTTTACATGTAATAGAGACCAGAACAGGTTTTATCTGACTGCCAACAGAAGGTGGGCATTCATGTCTGTGGGTGGGGGCTGGTCCTGTCTGTTAGCAAAATATCTTCTTACCAATCAGCAGGTTTTATTTGGCTCTTTCAGAAAGTAATCGTTGGATGTACATCTACATCCATTTTCATTATTGTTTCTGGGCCGTGTGGACGATAAGTTGCTGTCTCCAGCTGAAACTGAGAGAGAGGCGGGGCTTCTGCTGGACACGTCTCCAGTCCTGTCCATCACAGGGACACTTAGAGACATTATTATTATTCTGTACATTGATTTGATTTATTTATTTAACAGGAAAAGATTACTAAAAATCAAGCCTGACTCAGCATAATTGCTGTTTTACAGCAGGTTCCTGTTCTGCAGCACATAAAACACTCAGAATTACAGCATCACAATCACATCATTATACACCATAGACACAAAGACAAACAAGCATACCAAATTTCAAAAAGGCAGCATTTGCAAAATAGGACGTCTAAATATGAGCAGAACAAAAAGTGTCCAGCAGATGGCAGACAAGATTCTTCTTAAAGGGCTGTAGTTTTGAAATGGACTTTATGTTTTGAGGAATGTCATTCCATGCTTTAGTATAAACATAGAAGAAAGACCTCTGGCCGTAACAGTTTTTAAAAGTTGGTAATGTCAGTAATATTAATATCACATTTACAAGTGAAGTCAGATACTGAGCTAACGTGGTTCATCTGAGTCACTCTGAGGTCCAACACATTATTACTGTCAACGTTTGACTAAAAGTGTCATAAGATGAACTTTATCTCAAACTGGAATAAAAGAGTCTTTAAAGAAAGTTAGCTTCTTCATTTAGTCCTGCTGGTGATGATTTATCCTGCTGTTGGCTGGCCTTAAAGGTTTTCTGCTTTTATTGCTGTCATAGTTACCTAATTTCCCTCTGGGATCAATAAAGTATTTTTGAATTGAATTGAATTGAATAAATCAGTCATAGTTCATAAAAAGTGACATTTTTGACTAAGAAATGAGCAAAAGAACCTACACTGTCAAAGTGAGGTCATATTTCTGAGTAATATCAAATATAAAATAGATAAATGCATAAATATTCCAGCCCTCACATGAGTACAGGGACCTTCACAGAACACCTGTTCTGACTGCAGAATATTCTCCCTGTTTGAAACCATTCCTGTTAGACGTTCTGCACACAGCAGCAGATATCGGTCCTGTCCCTGTTCAGGTGCTGCCACCACCGTGCTTCACACTGAGGATGAAACAGAGGAGTTCCCCCGGCGAGCAGCTGAGATCATCGCTCTCACCGTCATCATCTGCTCTTTAAAAATAGAGCCGTTGTGTCCGTGACTAACTCAGCCTCCCTGCTTCTGCACTTCACCACTGAATCATCAGAGAGCAGGAGGAGCAGGCAGACACACAACCATCTGTTCTTTATCCCCCAGGCAGTCCTGTCTGAAGGACCTCACACTGGTACCTGAGTAAAAGTACAAGTGTCTTACCATGAAATTACTTTGGTAAAACTCAAACTCTCCTCCAAGAGTATTACTTGAGTAAAAGTCAAAAGTATCTGAAATTTAGCATCAAAGTAAATTTCTGACATAAATGTACTTCAGTACCAAAAGTAAAAGTATTGGCAGGTGACCTCCACAAAAACCTTTTCTAAAGACAAACAATGTTAAACTGGGAGTTTACCAGTTTCAGCTGCAGCTCTGTATGGTCCTCTTCATACGAGGGTACATACATGTGACATGTGCTGCTGCTGCAGTGTGTGTGTGTGTGTGTGTGTGTGTGTGTGTGTGTGTGTGTGTGTGTG